TCCATTTGGTATTAATCAATCATTTTTATTTGTTTGTGTAAAGTGCAGAAACCAAAATAGGATGTGTAATTCCATCATAGGTTTCAGCAGAGCTGAAATTTTAGTGTCAGAATCAAATTGGAATCCCATATTCCAACTGGCACTCAAGTTTGCTAGTCTTGGCCTTTTATTTCCCATTATTGTTAGTCATAGTAATTTTTTACTTCCCTCCTCTCTTAATTTCATTTTCTGAAGAGATATTATATTAGCAAGCCTTTCCAATATAGAGAATGCATTTGTTTCCAATATAGAGAATGCAATCAATTAGCTTCACACGTTGATCTATTAAGGCATTCATTCACTAATCATTTGTACTCTGGGGGATACACAGATTGAGTAAGTTTCTATCTTGTCTGTAAAGTAAATCACCAGGGAGGGAAGTGAGTTTGATTCGTATTTTTATGCTCAGTCTTCTTCCTTTCCTTTACCTTCTCATCCTCTTGCCTCTTGTTTTGCTCTTCTTCCTTCATTGACTACTTTAACCTGTCACATCAGTTTGACTTAAGCACACTGAAAATGCACCTTCAGTATTATATTAGTGTCCAGTATCTCATTGTCAACATAGGTGGTGAAGGATTCATTCAAAATATCTACTAACCACTTCCAGTGAACAAATGAATTATCAATAGCTAACGAAGGGTTTGTGGTGGTGATTTGTTTTAATGCTAACTGTCTTGTGAAATGCTTTGCACTATGCTGGGTAAGTAGGTGGTATTCAATAAGTGGTTGCTGAAAGAATATGTCAACCTCTCCAAATTTTGGAAATATTAAATCTGCTTCTTCCCCCTTGTTTATTCTATCACTGAAGGACATTAAATTGCCCCTTCTCTGTGTCTTTATTACAAAGCTGCTTTGGCTACTGCCTGGGAATGCTGTTCTGAAAATTGATTGATGATGTGTCCAGGCATCTTTCTTGAGTTCAATGTGAGTTAAGGGGTATTAACTGCTAACCCAACTCATTTTACTTCTGACACTGGGCCCTAAAAAAATTCTATCTTAATATTTGATATCTTCTCCAATTTTGAATGAATCATGAAAAATACTGTTTAATGATTTTGAAATGAAATTTCTAGTTCTTATATTTCATATCAACAAAACGTCCCTATTTGAATTTAGGTATATATTTCAAATATTCTGGAGGAATTATCTTTTGTATTGTAGTTTGGCTGGCTTAGGGCTACCCTGGCTTTGATGGTTTCCAGTTAACCAGTCAGAACTGAACAGGATCAGTTCATTACCTATTTTACAGTTTCAGAGACCTGGTTACTCTATGTGAGATCAAAGGAAGACACAAGAAAGAGTTAGTTGAGGATTACATTTTCCCCCTATTTCAACCACACTTTTCTCATTTAGGTGGTGGTTTTCGTCTGCTCCCTGAAAATTTTCATACCTATTATGGAAGTAAATAAGCATTGATCCCTTTCTACTTCTTAGAAATAAAAGGTACTACATACTCTTAAAAGAAAGCACATTATGATATTTTAGACTTTTATACTATTTCCTTTCACTTCTACATATATTTATTCTAATTAGAAATTTTTCGGATACTGTAACGGGTTCATGAAAGTCATCTAGTTTAAATAGTTCATTTTAATGAAATAGTCCAGACACACAATTTATATGTAATATTATAAACACTTGTGGACTCAAGATTCAGTCTGAGAAATAAAGCACTGAAAATTCAGCTCAAGCGGAATGTCATCCCAATGTCATTAACCTCCATAATTCTCAGAGATAACCTCTACCTGGAATTTCAGGTTCATCGTTATCATGGATGTTTATGTGCTTTTGCCACATATACATATGCTCAAAATACATATAATTATTTTTGCATGTTTTAAAACTTGCTACATAAATGGTATCATCCCACAGGTATCTTTCTGCAACCTACTTTTATGGTTGCTGCTTCGCATTGCACTTTTGAGATGCATTCATGCTAGCTCAAGTAGCTATAGTGCATTCATTTTTCTTTTTACTGCTTCTAGTATCACAGTATGACTATTCCAAAAAATCCTTGTCCACTTATTTATCCAAAGGTGTTTATATTTTTTCTTCCTTTTTTTTCCTCTTTCAAGTAATTCTGTAATGGATATATTTTGTACATGTGAAGAGAAGGACATAGGAGTAGAGACATTAGATTTTAGGAAATGAGAATCATCAGTTATCTCGAAACTGCTCTCTGAAATTGTTCTAATATGCTTCCCATGGTTTCTTCACATTCTCATCATTCTTTCTTATTGCTGGACTTACAGATTTTTGCCAGTTTCATACCTGTGATATGGTATCTCATCGTTTTAGGTTGTATTTTTCTAGTAACTAAGATATCTTTTTCAGATGCTTATTGGACATTGAGAATTCTCTTATGCTAATTGACTATTCATCTTGGCACATTTTTTCCTATCTTTTTTTTTTTTTTTTGTCTTTATAGACTTGTAAGAAAGCTTTATGTACTTGGATACTAATCCCTCTTTGGTTATATGCAAAGCAAATATTTTCTGTCGGTTTATGCCTTGACTTTTTTGATGCACAAAAATTCTTAATTTTAATATATCAAAATTAAAATTTTTCCTTTATAGATTTAATTTTTATTATTTTAATGTTTAGTAAAACCTTCTATTCCTGTCTACCCCAAATCACAAAGCTTTGTATCTCTATGAGGTTTTTAAGTTTTGCTCAGTATCCTTAAATACATATTTAGGTGTGAATTATACTTTTTTCATATGCTTAATCTATCGTCTGAATAATTAATTTTTCCTCACTGCTCTGTAATGCCACCTGTTCTTTATCAAGTTTCCATAAATTCAGGGATATATTTCTGAGCCCCCTATTCTATTCCATTGAACTAATTTCTATCCCTGAACCAAAGCTACATTGCCCTTAGTTACTGTCATTTTCTATTAAGTCTTAATAGTTAATATGGAAATTGTTCATACCTTGCTCTTAATTGTATTGTATATAAAATTATGTTGACAGGTTTGACCCTTTGCTCCCACAAACACATTTTAAGATTAACTTTTCAAGTTCCATGAAAAATTATAGTGGGCTTTTAATAATAATTACATTAATTTTATAAATTAATTTACAACATTGAGTCTCCCATCCAGGACCAGGTATGTTTGTTCATTTATTTTGGTTTACTCTTCAGTTTTAATAGATAAATTGGCCGTGGGTCAAAAAATGACTGCTCAAAGTCACATAGTCAATTAATAACAAAACCAGTAATAGGGGAAAGGTCTCTTCACTCCTTAACAGCTCAATACACTAAGAAGTCTTGATTATTAAGCCCTCTAAAGAAAAAAGACGGTGGAGTCCTTGCAGCCATTGCACCCACTCATGGAAGTGAATTCAACTTCCCAAGTTGACTAAGTCCTAATAATCAGGGTGTGGCCAGAGAGCCTGCTAGAAATGCTGAATCCCATCCCTTCTCTTCCTACCAGACCAGAATCCTCATCTGAAAGATTCCTGGGTTTCTGGTAAGCACAGTCAAGTTTGTGAAGTACTGCTTACCAAAGTGGAATCTTGAAATTCATTGCATTGGCTTTTTCTCTAAAACCTTTCAAAAATGCTAGTAGGAATCTTGAGATGATTGAATTGCAAAGGGTTCAGATAAGCAGCATTGAGGACTATGCAATGACCCTGGGGTCTTGCTTTCCGACCACAGGCTCACAGTAGCCATCATCTGCTCTGCTGAATGAATATCAAAAGTCTGAAATGAGAAGGGATTTTTTAAAAAAATATGTATCCATAATCCTATAACCTTAAAGAAAACAAAACATTAGGCTTTTTTTTTTTTTTTCTGAAAGCAGCGTATCTCAGGAAGAATAGGGTTTCTCCGAGTATCTGTAGTTATTCAGGAAACAAGTGCATTTGCCTTGAAATCACTAGCTGCTCCAAATTGGCATTTTAGCTACTAAATGCCATTGGGGAAAATTCTGCTGGGAAAAAAAAAAAAAAAAAGATGGAATACTGACTGGGGAGACAGAAGCACAGAAGATTCAGTCTTTAAAGTAAAACAAAGGAGAAAGATCAGACGAATGTTTTCAAGTGGTCATAGACTATTCATGTTCATCTCCGTTCTTCTTCTCTAACCCCTGGAGCAGCCAGTTATCTACAGGGGGAGGGGGGAAAGGTGAGGAGAGGGGATTCAAAAAAAAAAAAAAAAAAGAAAGAAAAAGAAAAAAAAAAAGTGAGATTCCCTGCAATATCCCCTCTGGCCACTAGGGGTACCTTTGTACCATTTTTCATCCTGCACCGATTTGGAGTAGAAACCTCTATTAGGGGAAAAGCAGGGTCCTCGGCATTTTTTGCGAGCAGTGCACCCAGAATCCAAAAAGAATTTTTTTTTAAAAAAAAAAGAAGAAGGAAGAAAGCAGCCACAGTTCTCCCCGTCACCCGAACGGGGCCACGAAACCGCTTCCCTGGACATCGGCGCCAGGGATTCGTTTTCGAGGTCAATTTCCCATCGAGATAAATCTATTGGATTAGTAGGATTATCTGATTGCAGCCGAAAGAAGTAACGTTGTTTGATCATTTGTATTTTCTTGCCTGCCGGTCGGATTTGCATGGAGGTGGTGGCTCTGGGTCCCGAGAATCCTGGATCGTGGTTTCGTCTGGGGAGAAAAAAAGGATCAATCGACACGTTTTGGAAGTGTCCGTGGGTGAATTAAAAAAAAAAAAAAAAAAAAAAAAAAAGGAGGTGTGGGGGGGGTGGTGGTGGTGGTGGTGGTTTTGCAAAAACTGGGATTGCGGCTGCTTCTTAAAGAAGAAAAATAAATTGAAAAAGGAAGCGTCTTGAATTCTGCTACAAGAATCCCCCGGGCTCAAGATCCAAAAAAAAAAAAAGAGAGAGAAAAAGGAAAAAAAAAAGGGGGGGGGAGCAAAAAAAGCGTCTAGAAGCGGATAAATACTTGGACCGATCGAGCCTGAATTTGACGGCGAAGTGGCAGGAGGAAGTGTCTCCTTGAAGGGCCGGAGGGGGACTAAGGGAGGACGAGGGGGCCTGCGCGGCTCGCTCCGGGAGGGTAAGTCGGGGGGTCGCGGGGGTCGCGGGGTGCTGGGGGGCGCGGGGTGCAGGGGGTCGCAGGCGGGGTGCAGGCGGGGTGCTGAGGGTCGCGGCGTGCAGACGGGGTGCAGGCGGGGTGCCGGGGGGTCGCGGGGTGCCGGCGCGGTGCGGGCGCGGTGCAGGAGGGTCGCGGGGTGCGGGCGGGGTGCAGGCGGGTGCAGGCGGGTGCAGGCGGGTGCAGGCGGGTGCAGGCGGGTGCAGGCGGACGGAGCTCCCGGCCCCGGCTCGGCGGCGGACCTCAACTTTGCACCCGAGACCTCCGGCGGCCGAGCCCGGGCCCCGCGCTTTCCCGCGGGCGGCACTTCCCGGGGACCGAGCGGCGTTGCCCGCGGAGCCGCCTGTGCGGGCTGCGCTCCCCCCGGGGCGGCCGCGGATGCTCGGCGGCGGGGACACTGGCCGCTTCCGCGTTCCCTGGCTCCCCCTCCCCCCTCCCCTCCCCCCCAACCCCCTCCGCCCCCTCCCCCTCCGCTCCCCCTCCCCGCCCGCTGCTGCGCTGCAGGGCCCCTGCCCCGGGGGGACGCCGAGGTGCACCGCCCGCCGCGCGGGGCTCGGGATCCACTTGCAAGACTTCGGCGTAACCCGGCGCCGGGGAACTTTGTGGGAGTTGGAGGAGCCCGGCCGCCCCCCGGCTCCCCCGCCCCCCGGCTCCCCGCCCCCGGTCCCCCGCCCCGGTCCCCCGCCCCCGGTCCCCCGCCCCCGCCCCGCGCCGCGCCCCCGCCCCCGCCCCGGCCTCTCGCCCCACCCCGCGCCGCGCGCCCTCGCAGCCCTCTGCGCGCCTCCCGTGCAGGCCGTTCCGACCCCTCCCTGCCTCCCTGCCTCCTGCCTCCTCTTTTAAAATTTTTTTTTATTTTTTTATTCTCTTATTATTATTATTATTTTTTTTAGGTCCTCCGCCCTATTGGCAGGGGGAAAATCAGTGTCAGCGCCTAGGATTACAATGAGGCCCTCAAATGAGCGGGGTTCACGGACTTAGGCAACTAAAAGTTGCTCCGCAATCCGGAAAAAAAGCCTGTTCTTGTGAACCGGCTTGGGGACCCACATGGGTTCCGGGCAGGAGCAGTCACAGATGGACTGATGGGTTTGGAATGTGTACCGAGACAGGCTAAATATCTATCATCTAAATAGGTACCTAGATATCCATTAATGAATTACCCCCCCACCACCACCCCGTAGTTCCTTCTGACACCTCAGCATTATGATTTTAGTTGGCTCTTCCCATTTAAGGCCAATTCGTTAGATCTTAAAGCTTCAGACATCAAGATCCCTTAGAATAAAATGGACCTAGATAATTGTTAAGATAGAAAATAGTGATTTTTTTTTTTTGAATGCGATTTTATCTCTTAAAGAAAAGCATCAAATATCTTTTCAGGGGTTTCTGTTTACAGATTAGGATAGGAATGGAGATACTTTTATGGCCTTAACATTGAAGCCTCCCCATTATGTGTGGCTTCATGAAAGGCCACTCTTCAATGTCATCTGAAGCACTCATCATCCCCGTACTTATTTCAGGAATTCCAAATGCATCAGACATCCTGGTATATTAAAAGGGGAGCCTTGCCAAACTTTCTTCCCGGTTTCGAGTATGTATGTGTTTCCTGAATCTGAGTTCTGAAACAAGCACAGTGTCATTCCTTTTTTTTTTTTTTCTTTTTAAGAGGAAATAGCAAACTAGAAAACTTTTCTCCCAAGGATTCTATGGTGCAGAAGTTAAATATTTCCCTCTTTTTTTTTTTTTTTTCAGATTTTGTGTAAGCTTGTCTAAAGGCCACAAAAAATAGAAAACTACTTTTTATGGGCCCAACAGTAAGTTTCAGGGAGAAATCTGAGAGGCTAGATTTGCCTTTCTTTTATGCAGCTCTAAGTCACGTGGTTCATGTGCAGGGTGAGCTAGAAGAATGGATGGTCTGAGCATTGGTACATTCTAGCCACTGATCTTAGCCCCACAGTTCAATGATAGTGAACATCTTTTTTTTTCAAAGTTTGAAGTAATAAAAAAAATGTTAGCTGGTAAATAACAACATTAAATGATGACAGTGAATATTTAATGAAGATGAATGGGAGGTGAGCTGGAGTTTTTCCTTCTGGGCTAGTAGAGAATATGACGTTGATACAAAGGTAGATGGAGAATATGAAACATGAGAAAGAAGGTTCTTTTAAAAGTTAATTCGGATATTTCACAACCGTTGAGCTGGTGGTCATGACATTCCCCAAGTGCTAAGCAGAAGACGCCACTTAAAGTGTCCTTGTCCCGGCTGAGTGCTATTTTTCTCGGTCAGGAATCATCAACACTTTCTATTCTCTTTCACCAGTGGAAAAGGAAAAGGGGAAACTTTGTCTTACTCTTTGGTTTCTGTAAGCGGTTCCTGCACAGAACTCTGGTGACTTTGTAGGTAGTAGATCCACTTTGGAAGGTCAATAATGGTGGAAATAAAAGTAAAATTACACACCACAGAATTTTTTCAGACTGTAGCCAATAAACAAAACCAAGTTACCCAGTTATAGAAATCCTCTCTACCAAGAGAGCAGATCACTCTATGAACTCCTGAAAAACTTGAGCGTTCACTTAGAAAATTCATTCCATCTTGCTCTCTCTTATCCAAACACATATTTTTGGTTAAGATGATTAAAGCAGGATGGTCTTGATCAGCTTTTCCAGTTTTGATTCAGAATAACATAACATGTCGTAGTTTTGGATGAAGGGATGGGAGCTCTCAATTACCCCAGAAAATTACAAACCCAGTTCCTGAGGTATGTGACAAGAAATAGCACTGGGTTCCCCAAAGCTCATGACTATAGGAAAACTGATGTTGCATTCATTGGAGCTTTGACAGCTGCACCTGTCCCCCAAAAGCCTTCCATGTGTTCTAACTCACCTAACATTCAGTAGGAGTGAAGATATTTCCTGCGGCTTCTTTCTATGATTTTGAAACGATTAAATACAGTTAGTTACATACTATTCTACATTAATTCATTTTTTTTGAAAAGCCTCTTAATTGAAAGTAAAATGAAAAGGACAAGAGTTTTACATGAATTATTGAAATTTAACACATGGCATCCAAAACCGTAGATTTTCCATCTCTTTTGCTTTCTTGAGAAATGTCAAAATAAAACAAAAGTTTTGGTTAATTTAAAATTTCAATTTTTTAATATCTCAAATTTGTAAGGCCCAGAAAATAAAAAAAAAATAGTGAACATTCATGATGAATCTAGAATGTCCTTTTTAATACCTTTTATTTTATTTTTTATTTTTTTGATACCTTTTAAAAAGATAATTCAAAATATTTTGATGTAGCTACCATTCTCAACCGTTTCTAAGAAGAATGATTTCTCAACAGTAACATACTTGATTCTTTTGGCTTTGTTATTAATGGAATCACGTTAATGATGTTGAACATCACTATGTTGCTATGAAAGGATATGAAGTATTTTTACCTTTAAAATTCTGCTCTCCACCCCCCACCCCCGCCAAAAAAAAAAAAGAACCCCACCTATTTGGTAGCAAACCTGTGTGAGACAGAAAGATTACTAACTCCAAGCTTAACTGAAGTCAGAGAAAACTAGTAAATCACTTCAGGCATTTGAAATTATTAGACATTAAACTTTTGGGGGATTTTATATGAATTCGTTTTATAACAGTCAATATAATCTCTTCTGCGCCTATTTCCGTTGCATGTAAGAGAAATTCTAGTCAATGGCAACACGCTTTACTGCTGCCACTACTGCAGACTTTATAGATCAGAGATGTGTCAGCATGTTAGCTTTAGCAGTAATGCCTCTTTTGTGTGAAACCTTATGGGCCTTGCAGGCAGTCTCTCATCCTGACACTCATAAAACGTTCAAGTCCTCATATTTATTATTTAATTTTCTTCCTATATATAGCAACAGAACACTTCAATATATGAATATGTAGCCAAAAAAAAAAAAAAAAACACGACAGGCAAGCGTCAATGAGACTAATGAGTTTTAATAATACACATATTAGGGGCTCCTAAAGGAAGTTTAATTAAGAAAAACAAGTTGAGCATGAAATTCATTTTGGAACAAAAGCAAGTCAGGTTATTGCTACAGATGTAAAATCAAAAACCACAGTGATCCGTCCCAGGAAATAAAGTTCCCGCCTGAGACTGACTAGACCTCCTTAGTGCAGTTGACATCTTAGGACCTGCCTTTAAGTTGATGAGCTTGGTTGGGTTTGACTCCTGGAATTGAAGCGTATATACTTTTTCACTTTTCTCTGGTGTCTGTAGCATTTAAGTATTTTACCTGTGTACCCAGTCACACTTTTTGTACATGATCCTGATGATCCTGGTTCCCTTGTGATAGGTCACACAGTAGGCTTTTCTTTGTCTGTGGTCTTCTTCTCTGCCTGCACCCAGAGCTACCCCAGCAGCCCATGCCGTCCCTTTGGGTGTGCTGTCGTGGTGCTTCGGTTTCTCTATCGATTTATCTGCACCTATAATTCTGTTTAATTTCTGACATAATTCAGAAAGTAAGCCGGCATTTGTTTGCCTGCTTATTTGTTTATTTGGTAGCGCCAGTGGGGAGCAGTAGGACAGAAGTCAGGAAGCAGGTAGAATATTGGGCAGATATCTTCTTAGAGTGTGATTTTCTTATATTTTGTCTGTATCTAAATGACATAGTCATATTCTGAAAAGAACGGAGATGTCAGGCAGTGATATGAAGGTTTTATATATGTGCCTCAACAACTTCCTTTTTTTGAAACAAACATCCCATTGATGTACTAACTTATTCTTTTATACAGATGTTTGTCATCACTTAAATGTAACAGTACTTTTTTCTTCCTCGAAGCACCCAGTGAACTGTTGAGTCATAGAAAAAAGAGGTTAATTGTAACATTTCATGGTGAATTGAAAATTCTTGCTGCTTTTTTTTTTTTTAAATAGTTATGGTGACTACTTTCATACTGTTAAATGGGGGCACTCACTGTGCTTGGAAAAT